CTCTTTGTAAGCAGCGCGTTTTTGTGTTCCTGACAGCGGTTCTGCTCTCTCTTACAGAAGATGTGACAGAGAACTTGTGTTTATCTCCAAAAACAGGTACTGTGTTGTTATCTCTGATTACAGGCGGGGCTACCAACCACTGCATTCGTTCTGTGAACGACTGGGGGCTGTGGAAAAGCTGTCAAAAAACAACTTGTGATTGTTGAAACTGATGCGAACCGGGGCAGAGGTATGATTTAAAAATGTAATGTGTTCCCCCTATCTGTTTAGATATATGTTATAATATAAGAAGTTGTACAGTCATATGCTGTTCACTGAGCTTTTTCACCCTAAGACCGTGCTGACATTCTGTATAGAGATTACTACTTTTTGTACAAAAAATAAATGTACAATAACCTACAGAGTCACTGTTAAGTCTTTATTTCACACTCACCATTCTTAAATAGATCTTTTTACAACAAGTAAGAAACATTCAAACTTATCAAGAACAAGATGTGTACTTATCTATGTCACCATATGAGGGGTGGGGCTACAACTGATATCTTTAATATCAATCAAATACAGTTAACCGCAGTTAACCACAATTTCCTTATCTCTGTCAACAGATGCAGGGGGTGGGAGGGGTAACCACGTGGGGTTTAGGGGGTGGATTCTGATTGGTTGATTGCGGGGCAAAGAGGCGGGGTGACGATTCTGATTGGTCAAACGGACCTGTCAAATTAATTCTGATGAGAAGTAGTCTCTATATTGTGTGTGCCCTTTCCAGGCCCGCTTCTTGAAGGACAACGCCATCTAGTGGTGTTGCACAGTTCATACACCTCATCAAATGTGTGAACTGATGTGTTTCTGAAATGAATGTGTCTGGCAAAACAAAACAGGAGGAATAGAGTAGAATAGAGTACATGTCGAGGTTGTATCAGTGTTGCAAATTGATTTAAATGAAAAGTCTGCTTGGAAGGTCGCTTCATAGACCTGCACTTGATTACTGTGATGAATTCTGTCTGAGATTGGCTTCAGACTATTACTATTCTTTTATGCTCATTTTCTACTCTGACACATTCATTTAATTGGCTGTACCACTTTTTGGGATACTGGCTTTTTATAGTGCTTATTCAGCCCATAGATAATCTATTAGGAAAACATTTAAAATCTCTTTTGGCATCTGAGGTACATCAGATTTTTTTTTTCCTCAAGTTAAATGGCTAGATTAGATAAATTGGGCATCTTTCAAACACACTTGTCACATCTTTGTTATTGGTGAAAGATGGACAGGGTTAGATGTTAGTTTTTCAGGTCTCTGAGTCAGAAAAGTTGAGGATTCTTATTTTCAGCTCAAGGCCGCAATTTAAAAAAGTCATACTCAGTACTAACTACTGAGACAAAAGAACAGCGAAGTGGTGTCAATTGATTTAATTGAATAATCAATGGATTATTTGAGACCTTGGGCATAGCAGTAATAGAACAAGATTTTATGCTTTCAAACTGCAATGAACAAAATTCAATTGCATGATTTAGATGTAAAATTGTCTTTAATACTGCAAAATACTAGTGTATTACTATTATACTATTACTATTATAAAGAATTATTGCATAAAATTTGCAGAACAATGCAGTTAAAAGAATTATATTGAAGTTTTTACAGTTCAGTTTTGTTGTTTGTTTGGTATTTTACAGTGAAATTGAATGAGATTTCATGTACAATAAGCAACAACTGTGTGTAAATCTTACAGCTAATTCAACAGAAAAGGGCAGTTAGATTTACCCATTTAAAATTTAATTTACAACGGTTTTAAATTGTAAAATGTACAGGTTGTCCTGTAAAGTTGTTTACATTTTTACCATATTTTTTTCTTTTTACAGAATTCTGGCAACCACAGCTGCCAGTTCTTTTCTGTAAAATCTAGGGGATTTTTTTTTTTTTTTACAGTGATAAGGTTTGTAATATTTTTCGTAAATGCACTGTGCTTCCATATAATTTAAATCTCTGGAGGGTGGGGGAGTGAAACTTTGGTCACTGTATAGTGAGTTCATTTTACTCTCAAAATTTGTTTTTGTCAATGCATCTCAGGTACCATCTGTTAGACAGTATTTTAGGGAATTTTCTATTATATAAGCAGAGATCCATAAATGCGAAGTTACTGATATGCAGGTGATGTCAGTAGTTAGTGCGGTCTAAAACTGTCATATTGCTCTTTTTTTAAATTTTAATTAAATGTGTCAGAGTATAAACTGAGCATAAAGAATAGTAATAGGCACTCTGAAGCCAATCTCAGACAGGATTCATCGCAATAATCAAGTGCAGGACTGTTAAAATGCCTGACTTTTAGGAGGAGTTCATTCAAATTTGGGAATTTTTTGACTTGGACTCGAGGATGAACTGATTGGGTTTTAGTGCTCAGACCGCCGGAGGAAGCGGCAATTTCGTGCATCTATCATTTCACTGGTGGTATTATTTCAAAATATAGAGAAAGAACTGTTTCGTTCATGTAAACCAGAAGAAGCAGTTTGTTTAATTAGCCTTTTGTTCTTCATCCAGAGAAGACAGCACCCTGAGTACTTTATACAGTAAAGTCTGTTTGAACAAAAGTACTCAGAAAGCGCATGTGTATGTGTAATGCAGTTGGTTTCACTGGTGTGCCACTGGAGGGCGGCCTTGACCAAATTAGGGTTTCTGTGATTTCCTGTGCACTAAGTTACATAGTCTGCTTCCACCGTCGACATGTGTTTTCCCCTTGACCTGAACGCGACAGTTCTCTCTCTCTAACCACCACCTAACCAAAGCCTTAATTAACCCCTGCCATGACAGAAATATTAGAATAACAGGACGTAATGACTTGAATGGGGGAAAGACTTGGACATAACACCGGTCCTTTCGCATCCATTTGACTTTCCACTGCAGTTGTTTAGAGACTTCATAATAATAAAAAAAAGACTAATAATAAAATAGTGATGGGTGATAAGCTTATGAAATTATATTTTGGAATTTTAAAAAAGTAGGCTATGTATTTAATGATGAAGTCCTTGTTTCGCTGTTAACACCGGTGTACATTTGGATCATATTTAGTGTACTAATGCTTTTATTTGCTTAAATGGCAGAGGGGTGCAGTGTGGCGCAGGATCAGCTGAACGCCCCGGTGTGTCTGGGTCTACTGAGTCCAACAAGCGTCTTTTTGTCCAAACATCTGCTTATCTTTTCTGTCCCTGCTGTCAATTTCCATTTGTGTCAACGTTACACTCAGATAAGATTGTCTTCATTAACCTAGTTCCCTTCGGTGGCAGAACAATGGCTTGTGATATGCGCCATCAGCAGGCCAACAACCGATTCTTAAAAATCACACTAGCAACGGGTTAACATTTCACTACAAAATAATACTCATAAAACCTGCATTTTCTATTAAATGTATTATAGTAATTATTATTAGCTATTATTGTTGTAGATATTATTAGACGATTTTTAGAAATAATCTAGGTGACGTCATATCTGTCATAGAAATCATATGAGGTTAGTTCATTGGTTTAATAGCTTATTTCAATAATTATCTACGTTCACACTATTTCTTTAGAAAGCCACGTCTACCTTAGTTAAATTTGAAATTATCTGTAAGGTTACGAGATAAAAATACAAATTCTAAATTGCGATTATTATGTCATGCTGCCGGTTGTTTGGCAAGTGCTTGTCTCTGACTGTGGATGAACTAGAAAAAGTGTCAATGTTTCTGTCATTGAGCTCAAACGACGTCAGACAGTAACTGCCCTATTGAACTTGCTGACATTTTACACAAAGGACGGAGAAGGAAAACTTCGGCATATGCTGCAAAACATAGGAGTGGCCCATTTATTTTTTGTAAAGCTTCTCCCATAGTGATCAATTCAGACAGACCACAAAACAAGACAATAAAATCAGTGTAGGCCTATATAATCAGGTGAAATATACGGGTAGAAATTTGAATTAGAGGGCCATTTACAGAATTAAACATCTCCGGCTCAACACCAGTCAGTCAGAACTGATGAAACCTCTTGGATGAGAGGTGAAACCTCTTCGACCTAGAAATCTAGTCCAGTTGATTTTTTCTACGTTTTTTCAGCTTACTATGACCTGGATGAATGAGAATCTGCACAGACATTTACAGAATTAGAAAACGTGTTTACTAAATCCCTTCAACTTGAAGTGAAGTTATAGTCAAAATCGTGAATCACCGGGTTGAAAACCTTTTAAATTCTCCAATCTTCTCCCCCGGTGAGCAAGTGCATTTACTGAAGCATTTCAAATACTAACGTGGCCATATTTCACTCTTAAAACTTTCTCACATCTCCACAAAATATTACAGCACTGGCTGTGATGTCTGGAGCCTGGTGCTTTTTCTCACACACTTTCACCATAATAACACCGAGTTTCTCTCAGAAACACAGATTACCTCAAGAGTTTATGCTGTATAATGCATGTTTGCATTATTGTACTGTTTCCTGTACAAACAGTTTATGCTGTTCTGTTTATTTGTTCTTTTTCTTAAATCCAGTTCTTTCAAGTGGAAAAACGTGAAATAAGGGGTTTTGTTCTGAAAGGTGGAGAGGGGTGAGTGAAACGGTAACATTTTCTGACAGAAGAATAGACTACAGCAAGCGTTGGATTAACTGAGTTTATCCGACCTCATTAGCCAAAGTAACGGGATCACAAAATACAAAATGACAAAATATTGTACAGGGAATCAAACACGCTGGCCAAACTGTACTGTATCATAACAATATCAACTAAACAACTTACAGAAGGTAAAAATTTAAATTTAAACTGAATTGTTTTCTCTAGGGACGGATTACCTATAATTTAAAATCTAATCTTGAGTTACAGTTAAATGTAGATGTATACTGTCAGATGGAAACAATTATTTCCACAATGAGAGGCGCACCATTATTAACAGCAGCGTTGAAGATCTTAATACAGCGTGGCTTTTGATGCATTCAGGATCTTCCGGAGCGTCAGTGCTTAGCCTGGCGCAACATCCGAGTAGTTTTAGATGCGACAAATAATGGCCTTGGTTCTGCATGTATGGAGGAACCTCAATGGAGGAAATTTGGAGAAAGTACACGTCTGTGGTTGCCTTGATTTAAGCTAATTTAACGCGCAGAGTAAAAATATACTGTTATTTTAAAATTGAAGACACAAGTAAAGGTATAATCGCATACCATGCTCGCTTATTTTTTCAGTTCATGCATCCTTTGTTAACGTCACTTTCGCCATCTATCCTGGCAGCCCAAATAACATGCAGATAAACGGAAAACGCCTATTTTCGACAGCATATCAATGCAGCATCAGTCCAGCGGAGACGCACGTGTAGCAGCGGAGTTTCTGTCTCCTCCAATCACAGAGCGGTCTCACTCAGCTTTGTCCAATGGGGATAGCGCGCGTGCAGGTGGCTGCGCTGTTATCAGCGGCTCCCGTTTCACTCCCAGCATATGGTGAGTCAATTTATGGGAAGACAAGCTGACCCCTTAATGGTTCCCATCAAAACCACTAAAACCATCATCAGACCGCTCGATTTCCGCGGGGATTCTTGTGGCGGGCGCGTGCAGCCCTCTCCCAGCTGACAGACTCCAACCAAATCAAATACACGGAAAGACATTTTGGGAGTCTGAGCAAGCTCTTCACTTCCGAAGAGAGAACAAGTTCGGGTTTGCTCAAGTTTTCCCAACAGTTTGACTCTTCTTCCTCGTCCAGGATACTTTTGGAGAAAGCGGCAGAAGTGGCCTGGCTCCGACTCACCTCCAGACCGCTCTGTGCCTCTATTTACCCCTGTTTATTTTTATTACCAGTTTTTATCCAAGCGAGTTTGGTGGTTCATGTTCACAAATGTTAGCGGTCGGGCAGATGGAGGCTAACCGGCAGAGTGCTTTCGTCCTGGGCAGCACCCCGTTGGCGGCGTTGCACAATATGACCGAAATGAAGACATCGCTGTTCCCGTACGCGCTACAGCAGAGCCCGACGGGCTTCAAGGCGCCTCCACTCTCCAACCTCAACTCCCAGATCTCCGGGGGGACGCCGCATGGAATAAGCGACATCCTGGGAAGACCCATCACCACAGCCGGACAGCTGCTGTCTGGGTTCCCCCGGATAAACGGCCTGGCCACCACCGCAGCCGCTGCTGCAGCGGGGATGTACTTCAGCCCGGCGGTGTCGCGGTACCCGAAGCCCCTAGCCGAGCTGCCAGGCAGGGCGCCCATCTTCTGGCCCGGGGTAATGCAGGGTTCACCCTGGAGGGACCCGCGAGTTTCCTGCCCCAGTAAGTCCTGGCTGTCTGTTTGAACACGTTTCAGTCAATTAAGTGTAAATTCTGAAAAAACGAAGGTTCCTTTGTGGAGTTGCAGAATGATTCTTCTGTAGCGCTACTACTTGTCATTTATGGCTGTAACAGGCCTGTCCGTACATTGACACACAAAATTAACTACACCTGTGGTTTTCACAGTAATAAAAAAATTAAAATAAAATAAAATAAGAATGCTATTAGTATTAACCGATAGCCTCACTCTTTTAAATATAGACCAGTAGCCTACATGGTCACTGTAAGGGTGCATTTTACACAAACACCTGAAGTTTGTAAGTGAACATTAAATTTTAATGTGGCTGAACTTTCAAATTGTAATAGAGGAGTTTTAAAAATATTTCAAGCTCGTTTCCACTGAGAAGTGTGCGTGAACGTGCATTGAGGTGAACTTTTTCAGTAGAAACAGTTGTCTTTCATGTACACACGTTTTTTTTTCCAGCTCAGGCTAACATAATGGTGGACAAGGACGGCAAGAAGAAACACTCCAGACCGACCTTTTCAGGACAACAAATTTTTGCACTGGAAAAAACCTTCGAGCAGACGAAATACCTGGCGGGCCCAGAGAGAGCCCGCCTGGCCTACTCTTTAGGAATGACCGAGAGCCAAGTCAAGGTGAGGACTGTCTAACACCTGCTAATGTCTGGCAAACGTAGAAAATATTCATTTACTGATGTAACCTGAGATTTGAAGATTTTATCACGGAAAACAAGGAATACTGAATGTCACTAACAGTAAAATCGATAACAACAATAATAGTACTAAGTTAAATTTAGCATTTTTAAAAATACGTATCTTTAGATTAATCTTTGATTTTTATTTTCAGTATTTTATAAAGTTAAAGCCTCTATTATATTATTTGCTATTTTAAGCAAATTATCAAATGTTAATTTATTTGAAAAATAATTTTCAATGGTATGATTGATAAAACAAAATAATAATGATTATTATAATGATAATAAATTGTCTATTACTCTGAAATCGACAACCTTCTCTGATCTCTGCCTTTGACTATAGCTGCTTAATTCTCGACCTGTTGATCCTGTGCGCGCATCTCAACAGGTTCTGTCTCCCTTCCTCATTAACAGGTTTGGTTTCAGAACAGAAGAACTAAATGGCGGAAGAGACACGCAGCAGAAATGGCCTCGGCCAAGAAGAAGCACGACTCTGAGACGGAGAAACTGAAGGAGAACTCTGATAACGAGGACGACGACGAGTACAACAAACCACTGGACCCAAATTCAGACGACGAGAAAATCACGAGACTGTTGAAAAAGCACAAGTCCACCAACCTGGCGCTGATCAGCCCCTGCAGTAACAGCTCGGACACCTTGTGATGGCCACAAACTGCGAGGGTGTGTGTGTGTGTGAGGGGGGCTCAAAGGGTCCAACAGACATTTGTCGCACTCTTTGCCCCCTTTTCACCCGACTTTACGAACGTGCGCCTGAAGGGGATCGCATCTTGTTCAGAAAGAGCAAGAAAATGTGTAAAAACCAAGTGTTCGTCAAGAAGTACTGAAGACGCGTTCACTACAGCGGGGCCAGATACACATTTGACGGTCACAGACACTGTATACACGGATATATAACTCGTTTCAGAACCGGACTGCCAGCAGACCTTTGATGACAAGTTCCTGTTAGACACAAATATCAAACAGGAAACTGGCGACACTAAGTTTTTTTCCAACTGGAGTTATACAACGTATAAATGTAAACAAAATAAAATAAACAATCCGGATCAGTGTTGGACTTAGAGGCACGACTCGTTAATTTTGTTTCACAAATGTTTCTTTACTTTGCTCATGTATGATCCACGACACTTATTACATTACTCTCCTAATCACCTCTAAATTAGCGGCCCTGTAAACGTGAAGTCAGGAAGGCCGCTGCTTTGGCTCTGAATGCGACTGTTGAGGAATAATTGCTGTACCTCAGTAGACCTGATTTATTCAGCCAACACCGATCCGGATCCCAGACGCATGTTTAAAATGGCAGGTGTAAACGGGGCCTACGATGCTTCTAAAGCTTAGTTTAACCAGGGTATCCACTGTCCTAAAAGGCGAGAGAAGAAACTCTTTGAGGGGGCGCGGCATTGAGATGAATGAACGTATGTACGATGAATGAATGTATGTGAGATTGTATATATTTTTTACTGAATAAGTTATGTTGTTTCAACCAGTGGAAACGTGGCAGTGTTTATGCCCCGCAGCCGTGACGCGCATATCACCTCTAAGATATAACCGCTGCTTTGGTTTTATTTCTGCACATTAATGTCGCCTCTTTCTTCCACGTTTTACACTTCTGTTCTCTACAGACATACAAATGTATAGACGCAAATGCTGTAAATAGTCATTGTAAAGAAAACCCGCTTGTTTTAAATAACGACATCAGTACAGACTTTTCTTTTGATTTCATTGAGTTTATATTTGACCTCATCGCACAACGCAAGAGAAAGCTGGATCATCGTTAATGTTGGAATTAAAGAGATTATTATTGCTTCTGGGGCGGTTATGGGAAGAAAAAACTTTGTATTATGAATAAATTATTTAACAAGCATTTTGTTTTATTATGGCTTTTGTTTAATGTATGGGCTTATCATAAATGAAAGATAAATTTATGACAGTAAACAATGGAATTCTATCACGGTGATGATGCTTTTAGAAAATTAGTGCTGATGGAACCTGAGGAAGAACAACGAATTCTCTGCATCATTAGTATAATAAATGATTAAATATTTCATTGAAAACGATTATTATTATTGACAGCTCTTAGTATTAAAAATACGTTCTACTAAAATCTACTCAGTCTGTTCTCTTTAAATTCCCGTTGTGTTATTTTGCAGTCATTTTAATTTTCCCCAACTCATGGGATTTATAAACTCTTTTGGACCTTATCTGTGGGGGTGTCCAGAAAAGGACCCATAGATAAATTCAGCATTTAACAAAACTATCTGAGTGCTGAGTGTATGATGTTCGATATTTGGTGTAATCAGGAAACATTTCTGATCACTTTCATCCCCAGCAGTGTGGAGACGTTTGAAAGAAGTGCGCCCCCGCTGTCTTTAACGCGGAACTACACCTGTCCTATCCCCTCTGTAGTCCTAGTCAGTAGGAGCTTTCTGCATGCACTCAACCAATAAGACATTAGCAGACATAAAATCACGTATCGCTTAGAATTCTTTTGGTAATTCGTGCATAGAATGAACACCTGCTCTCACTCTGACTGAAATATAATGAAAGAGAAAATACTTTGATATAGGCCACAATAACAAAACATTTCCTTCCTGAATATTAGCCTGTAGGCTAATATTAATGGGACAGGAAACTTCATTTTATCTTTTTTTTTTTTACTTTTGGCAAGCTATAACAAATTTTATGTTCCACTCTTATTTTTGGAATGCTATATAAAGTTTAATATAGATTTATGACTCACTTCTGGGTCAGTATGGGTTTCAGCTGCTGCAGCTATAACTTTCCTCTTTTAACTTCTGTCTGGATCAGTGCAGACCCCCAGTTATGCCATGTGACTGTTTTCTTTAGGGAGTGAATTTATACTGTATACAAAATATTATATGGGAATATTAGCCAATGTGTCGATACAGAAGTAGACAGAAAAAAGAAAAATCTACATAGAGCTGATATAAAGTATAAAGTGTCGTTCATTCATTCATTACTAACTATACATTCATGCGATTATTAGTTTTCGTGGATGTATGAAAGCCAGTCTTCTGCCAATTAAAGTTGGTGTCACAGTGCATCTCCCTGGGGAAAAACCACCATAGGAAATGTGTAATTCTCAAACCTAGTTTTAAGATCCATCACTACATAACACTGCTGTAATAATACACTAATACACTGATGTGGTGTAAGCCTAATTGATGAAGACCTTTTGATTTGGAGCTCTTACCCCAGTAAAGGGGTAAAATGAGAGGTAATGAGGACAAACAGCCATTGAGCTCTAATGGTTTTTATTGCTTGAGAAGTGCACCTACAGTACAGGCCAGGCTGTCCAAAAGGGGCTAGAATAAAATCTCTATCTGCTTTTATAAGATGGAGTGAAGAAAAAATGCAGCTTATACTCCTAAAGTATACTCACAATGACCAGCAGGAACACAAGCAAACAGGCCTTTTTTTTTTTTTTTTATAATATACTTTTTGCCTACAAACCAAATCACACAAGACAACATAAATTCTGTGGCAGGCATAAAATCATTTCCAATTGCAGTGATTTAGATGAAAAAAAATCATGGAGGATCAATCTGGCAACTTCACACCATCTGAAATCTGTAGTGTAGTAAATGAAATCAATAAAAAGAAAAGATGGTGTCTCCATTCGGCCCTGTAATGCTCCAATTATTTGCAATGAAGGCTGCTGGAGGCTACATACAAAACTAATAAAAAGCAAGGCTTCCTGCTCTTTCCCCACATTTAGAGTTTCTCTCTATTTTTACATTTCATAATAAACACCCTAAATATTTCAGAACTCTTACACACTTCATTTTTGTGTAGAATACTTGGCACCATAATGCAGTAACAAAAATAGACAAAACTGTTTAGTAGACCAAAGCCTATCGAAAATATTACATTCAGAACTATAATATTAAAGAAATAAGTTAGCATAAGAATATAATGAAATCATAGGACTGAAACACTACCTTATATACTTGCATGGTCTATAACCTTGCTTAAAACATTCTTGGATAGGCAATAAATCACTGAAGAGTTTTTTTTTCTTGTATGGACTATTCAAAGGTCAGAGTGGCTGCTGCGACACCCGAGCAGTCACTCTGTCTCTGCACTGCACTTCAGCTTCAACATTTGGTTAGTAATAATTATAAATTATTTCTTTAAAAAGCACAGTGTAGAAAATGAGACTCAACCTATGTGTCAGGCATGGCAGTGTGTTGTGCACACAATATCAACTCAAGACAAAAAAAAAATATATATATATACTGTATATAGTTGAAATAAACTTAAGTGTTCTACAGTCCAATCGTCCCTGGTAGGCTAGTGGTTAAGGCGCAGCACTCTCACCGCTGCGGCCCGGGTTCGAATCAGGGTTGCGTCAGGAAGGGCATCCGGCGTAAAACATGTACCAAATGTCAACATGCAAGTCGTCAGTGTGACGATTCACTGTGGCGACCCCTAAACGGGAAAAGCCAAAAGTGACTTTCTTTCGTTCTACAGTCCAACAAATTCCAACAATAGGACCACAACGTTTGGTCAGAAAAGAGAATGACATTAAAACCATCAACAGCTATGTTATACTGTCCAATGTACAAATAAACCTAACAATACAACTTTTTCTGCATTGCACTTTTCTACAAAGGGCAAGTATGTAAGTGGCAAGTATGTAAGTAAAGTAAGACTGCTTTCAATTAGAGTTTTGGCAACAATGCTGTGTGTCATGGAGAAGAGTTGTCTGTCCTTTTTCTCCTCTAGTTAATGGGGTTGCATGGCAACAGTGAGGTCAGCGATGTGTGTCTTGTCTGGAGCCGGGCTCTCGGGTGCTAGTCCACATCCCAACAAGTATTTTATGGAGAGAAAACTGTGGGCTTTGTGTATGGATGATGTGTCAGAACTGCCACTGGTCAGCACTGCTGAAGAAGTTTATCTAGGTTCTTCAGTGTATGCTTGTGCAAAGTGTGTGTGTGTGTGGGTGTGTGCGTGTGTGTGCATATGTGTGTTCGTGTGTATGCTGATGTCCTTTTTGTTTCTATGGTGTTCTCACAGAGGCGCTTCACGAAATATGTTCTCCTCCCTTTGGCAACACTTCCCTGTAGATAAAAAAAAGATGTTTTAGTCCTAGATACCAAGTAGCCATTTGCATCAGAGAAAAATACAAGATGCACCTCTAGTTTGTAAGTAAATGTCTTAAAATGACTGGAGCATTTTAAGCAATCATGAGACATTTTTCCACCAATGATGTTTTATTTTGGAATAAAACTCTTCAAGCAGGTAAATTTGCCTTCTGAAGAATTTGGCAATGTAATGAAAAATCAAGCAACTCAAAGAAAACAATTCAGCAATGGCAAGAATTATAATAAAGAAAAAGTAATATTTACCACAACATCACTGCACCACACAACACTTGTGCTTATTTGCATTAGGTTTACCTGCCCCCGCTGTTATTCGGAAAGACAGGAAGACAGGCTGGTGGGGGCACAGAGACAAACCAGAGTCAGAAACAACTTCATTAATCCTCTCTGGGATAACTTCTACACCCCTTCCCCTCTGAGCACCTACGACACACAGGTTAAACTCACATACCAGCACTGTGCCTTTTTGGGCCTATGTGTTAACTGCACTGGACATTTTTTTAAACACAGCCAGATGCTAACAGTAGTGTGCGGTTTGGAGGTGGGGGCTGCTATAATATTCGTCAGTGTGCTTGGATCACCTTGCACACACACACTACTGTCTGTGTCACACTCGGGAATGATTAAAGACCTAACTTAAGGTGCCTCTCATGCAGTTTGAGCTCCTGCGACAGACCGTAATCAGCACTTTCTCTACTACTTCTTTTAGCTTCCTTCTGAAATCTAAACAGCTTTAAGTAAAGCTGCTGGGAGGTTAAATTTAGTTGCAAGATTGTGATTTTTCTGAGGAAAACAGATTTTTTTTCTCATCAACATAGTATTTAATGCACATTCAGCTAGTATAACTGTTCCTTCAACACAGGTGACAGAAATGGTCAGGGAGTGTATAAAAGAAAAGTTATAGTAAAATAATGAAAATCATATCAGTGCAAAAGTGCATCTTCCTTTATGAAATGTTCTCTGATATTGTGTATGTCCTCCCTCACCTCCTCCAGCCTGTTTGGGTTCCCCCTGAGCAGTGTTTGGATCCACTCAGGTGTAACTTTAGCCCATTCTTCATGGCCTACTTGTTCCAAGTCTACCAGACTGCTTGGTTGTCTACAATGTACAGCCCTCTTCAAAGATTTTAAAGCAAAGCTTCCTACCATCAGTCAGAAAGCTAAAAATGCTGGGGCAGTGGATCCTTCAACAAGACAATGATCTAAAGCACAAAGCAAAGTCAACCCAGGAATGGTTTAAAAGAATAAGGTGGCCTTCCCAGTCTCTAAACTTAAATATCATTGAAAACCCAGGGATCGATTTGAAGAGGGCTGTACATCGCAGACAACCAAGCAGTCTAGAAGACTTGGAACAAGTAGGCCATGAAGAATAGACTAAAGTTACACCTGAGTGGATCCAAACGCTGAGGTGAGGGAGGACATACACAGTATCAGGAAGATGCAAACCTTTACACTGATATGATTTTCATTATTTTACTATAACTTTCTTTTTATACTAGCTACCATTTCTGTCACTTGCGTTGATGAAGGAACAGTTGTACTAATTGAATGTGCATTAAATATTATGTTGATGAGAAAAAAATCATTGTTTTCCCTCTTTTAGCCATTTCAAAATAAAGGGATACAAACTTTACACTCAACTGTAGCTGAAGCCATGTATGGTAGGAGTAAATCATATCTTAAACACTTCAACAACATTATCAGTCTCTTAATTCCAATATCTAAAGACAACATGTAACACCAACAGGTGTTTTACTGCATTAAATGTAGCTGCGTTCAGAGTAGTCTGTCTGTTTCGATTTCAGGCTCAGATTCACAGAATTTACATCATAACATGATCACACACAGTGACTATGTGGGCAGAGCCCTTGTTGTTACCTTGTGGTCCCCCA